CTGGGACCCGAGGCTGGCTGGAGGAGACGTAGAGGTGAGAGGCGGAGGTCGAGCTGGATGAATTTGAATTGAAATGGATGGTGGAGGGTGGATGAGGCTGATATTTTGTTTTTAATTTTTTGGATTGGGCTGGCCGGCTGGGTAGTGGTCTAAGTCTTGGTAATGGGCTTCACCCTTGGGCTAGAATGTAACATATTACTACAAAAAAGTTCTGGGCCATGGGATTGAACCCAGAAGTTCAGTGTGGGCCTGTGCCCACCCTACTCCTCATTGGGCTCCGTGGCCACCCAATTTGTTTCACCAGGCCACCCAACTTTACAATTAGTGTTACCATGGCCACCTAATTTGATTTTATTTTACCATGATCACCCCAATTTCATATAACGTTTTAACATGACTACTCAATTTCATATAACATTTCATCATGACCTCCCACCATCTTTTCACAATTTTTACTAATTTTAAAAGGGGTAAAATAAAATAAAATAAAACTTATTTTAAAAAAAGTTTTTAAATTAAAAAAAAAAACATTTATTTTTGTTTTTTAAATTTATTTTTATATAAAATGCAAATTTACCATTTTACCCCTTTTAAAATTAGTAAAAATGGTTGAGAGAAGTTGATAGTCATGATGAAACATTATATGAAAATGGATGACCATAATAAAATAAAATAAAATTGGGTGATCATGGTAATACTAAGTAAAGTTGGGTGGCCATGGTAAAATAAAATCATTGGGTGGCCAATGCTAAATATAAAGTTGATTGGTCATTGGTGGATTTAACCTAAATTAATGAAAGTAATTCCTGAAATTATATCAAATACAAGGTAAGCGGTGTAATTTCCTCTAAAAAAAATTCTACTTATCTTATTGGATCTAGACGCCAAATCCACCTATTGGTTTAGTATATTAATTTTTTTTCTATTTTGAAGTTTCCGTGAAACCGAATTTTTTTTTCTCACGGTTGTTAAAATCTAGGTCAAAATCTTATGATCCACAATTTATGATCTAAAGATAATCAAACGATCTAATTCTATTGTAGAATCTTACTTTCTCGTTCCTAAATTCTAATGATCATATTCATAGCAATTTTAACCATCATATATATATATATATATATGAAGTGGGTTGGTTTCTTGGACTTTTTTGGTGAGTTTCATCTTGAACTAAACCCCTAATGAACACTTCAAAGAAAAATAAAACGGTAAAAATTAGAATCTATCCACTGTATGAAATATTTTTTGTAGCTTGATGCTTCCAATTGCTAAATGTTCAATGGCAATACCGTTTGTTTTTGTCCGATGCTACGAAAAATTAACACTGGAATATTACATCTATGGCTATTTGAAGTTGCCACTATATCTTCCTTTACATCATTTGCTTGTAATCAAGTAAAACTGATCAAATTGCATCCTATTATGTATCATTTCTTGTTTTCAACTACGTACCCACTCCGTGTTCTAAACCATATCACCAATACCAAGTTATAAGCAGATAGAGTGATTTTTTTGACAATACGTGAATGGAATCAAGAAACTACAAACAATGCAAGGTTTGACGAAAATTTCATTAGAAATTAAATTGTTATTCAACATAATATTTCAATACAAGTAAATAAATTTGAAGATGCTTTGCCAAAAAAAAAAAAAAAAGGTAAACATTTATTACAATCTAGAGGGGTGTGGTGAAAATTGAAATTAGATTTTTAGTAAATTGTAATAGAAGTTTTTAAAATGTGTGGTTGAAAAGTCGTGGGACGCATAAAATATATAGTTAATATTGATTGTTTGACTTTGACTTAAATTAAAATCAGATTTTAATCTAAAACAAACAGGCTCCTAGCAACTCAAAAGTGACATTACAATCTCGATAGTGAACAACCGTTGACTTGATAGAAAACTGTACTAATTGAAACTCAACGTAATATTCTAGTAAATGTTTTGCAAAAAATAAGTTCACTAAAAAATTGCAATCATTGTAGCTCGATGTATAACCTGAACACTTCAAATCTCATGTAACCAATCAATTTAACTTAGGAGATGAAAGAATGAAATAAGGAATATAAATTATAATACAATGTTGCTATAATATAATTCATCTCGATATGGTAAGATTTCTATTATATTCGGAAACCAAGGAAGATATTAACTACCAATTAATTTTCCCTTAGTAATTACTGGAATATTACATTTTTTTTCTTATTTGATTATTCAATTCAATGACATTCCTTGGTAACATATCTGGTCAGAGGATTGAATAATATTAAAAATATATGATGACAAAAAATAAAATACATCTTATAGGGGGGGATACACTCATGCAGGTATTGACAATAAATATTCATAATTGAATCCAGTTGTTTAGATCGGTTTAAACCTTTTAAAATCACTAAGCATTAAGACTATTTGTCCAACGAAGGAGATTAGGAGGGATAAAATATTATTTTTGTTTTCAAGAAACATACGAGCTATACAAGTTATATTTTTCATTGCGCGCACATTAAGAACAAAATTTTTACTTCATTTTCTTTCTTAATACTTTCTAAGCATTCCTATCCAGTACGGACATGGATCAGTGTGGCGAATTGATTCACAACAAAATGACAATACGAGAAACTGAAACTTGATAACAAATTGAAAAAACTGTATATAGGAAAGAGTTTTAAAGAATATCAAAATCAAAATTACGATATCACCCTCCCCAGCCATTAAAAGGCTTGGGGATTATGGAACCAAAATCACAGATAAGATTTACTTTTTTGCTGCTACAAGTACACCTACTTGAAAATCCTTACAAAGTTAAATTAATTTAACAATAAATGAGAAACTATCCACTCGCCCCATCCCCCGAAAGAAAAGAAAGGAGATCTAGACAAGGTATATTTACCTCTCAAGGAGCATCACCAGCTCACAGTGTGAAGTGTGAGGAAACAGATCAACGGCCATTGCCTTCACAGGTTTAAAAGGCTCAGAGTTGGGCATGGACTTGGCTCTGTGTCGAGCCAGACCAGCTGAACTCATGTTTCTCCATCCCCTGTTGTTTTTATTATTCCCTTTCTCAGTTTTATCAGCTGATGGAGTGCAGAGCTCAATAGCGTTTGCCACCAAACTTTCAGGATTACAGGAAATGTAGCTGAAGAAACGATTATGGAGTTCAATTATATACTAGAACAAATTAACATTAACGAGAATAAATCACTTATAGAGTAACTTACACAAGCCTCTTCAAACGAGAATGAGTCCTTAGAACCTTGATCACCTGCATTAACGGATAATAATAGTCAGTTCAAAACAATTTATGCATTTCAAAGAATAATCCAAATTTATTCATGAGAAGTAGCTGGAGCAGAGAGCAGACAAAACAGTAAAAGGTTGGTTTTGCTATTTTTTGAATAAAACAGAAAATTGATGAAAGAGAGTGATGCTTTAGAGGGCAAGCTCATGAAAGAAGAAACCCAAAAAAGAACAGAAAAAATTGACAGCAATTATGTTATCATTCTATCAAAATAATTCCACAGGCAGCTCCAACAGATTTAAGCCCAAAATTTTGCTAGGGGAACCAGAGTCACTACTGAATGAGTGGGATCATATTTGGGCTCAGAAAAACCCTACAATCCCCGTCCAATACACCAAGACACTACCAACATTGCACATCCCTAAATCTTTCTGTTTGCACCAAAACAAAACCGTGAAACCTAATTTGGGATTTGTCCTGTGAGGTATCAACGAGAACAAAACATTCCCAAGAATGGCAAAGTTCTCTCCAAATATCCAAAGCAGTGTCAAGGGCCACAAACAGAGAGAAATAGATAGAAGCAAAAGATGATAATGAGTTTTATCATATTTCTTGTACATTGGCATTGTTTTTGGCATTCCTGGTAATAGTGGTTTCAAATATATAAATAAATTTACTTACAGTGGGATGAAGTCCAACACGTGGAGGATCCACTATAGCAACGACATTTTTAAATTGATGCATTATGGTATTTCTATTTTGTGACGTGCTATTCTTCTGAATTTGGCTTTCATTTGGACTATTGCCATTTTCATGCTCTAGGCAAGAGGTACCTTCAGGTCCAAGCACAGAGTCTTCAGAATCTATCGTTTCTTCAGCAGATTTCATTTCATCTTCACTCCCTTGAAATGTATCAGAAATTTCGTCTTGTTTCTGAGGTAAAGATAGGTACTCTTTCAATAGAGAACCCATAACATCCTCTGCCTGATAATGCCGATGGACATGCAAAGACAGAAAATAAAGTTATAACAACATAATATACTACTTCAAGGGACAAAATACTACTTCCAGGAAAAGGAGAAAGGAAAGAACAACTATAAACAGATTTGAAGCATCTTGCTTCTTTTAACTATTGTACGTGTGGACCAACAAGGAATGGAAATAGAGAGAGCCCAATCTGACCTTTCCACAGACAAATCTGCAGTTCACAATGCCATTCATATCTGCATTTCTTTGAGCATCTGAAATTGCAGAAGCATTCATTTCGATGCCAACAACCTGAATAAATTGAATCCCAAAACTTACTTACACTAATTGAGTTTAGTCAAAAATGGGAGAGAGATCTACTTCACATCTTTGTACAACAGATGATCTCCTCAGAAGAAATGCACAACAGGGGCACATGAAATGAGGTAGCAGAATAGTGTTTTTTTTTTTTTTTAATTCTCTTTTTTCTACTTCGCTTCTCAGTTATATGCCCCATCCTATTGTCCAGAATTGTCCAATCAGTGAAAGGAAAAAAGGAGGATAAAAGATATACTAAAAATAGATTAAAACCATTACCATTCCAACAAGATGAGCCAAAGTCAGGCCAATTGTTCCAGTTCCACAGCAAACATCAAAAAGTAGCGTGTCAGGGCCCAGGCCTGCCCAGTCCCCAGCGAGGGAGTACAATTTCTCAGCTGCAAGGGTGTTAACCTGAAGTGTTTGGGAAATAAGATGGACAGCCAATTATCAAAATGAAAACTTTCATTATGACAGACCTTGTTCTCTTTCTCATTCTAAATTTCCTCTTCTATTTTTTTCTGGTTTATTTTATGTGTGCACATGCGTGTAGGGGGGTGTTGGGGTGGGGGGTAGAAGGTGAAGGACAGAATGATAAAAGACACAAGATGGTCCCACCTGAAAGAAGGCTGTCGGAGATATAGAAAATCGAAGATTGCTTAAGTAATCATGAATTCTGGGTTCCACGACATCACCAGCTGTCAGCAGCCCAGAATCAATTTCTTTATTGCTAATGGATACAGATAGTAAAGGAGCATCAGGTGATGCAACATTTGATATTCCTGTATGATCCTACATGAGAAAGCCACATATCCAGAAAATTAACGAGGCAAATAAAAGAGAAAAACCCTTCTAATCATAAACGTTTTGAAAGGGCAAAATTCAGAATTTTCAAGCAAAGTCTATATGAGGAGTATAGCAAAGAATCAATAATTCCATGACCTCGCTCTAAAGCTTTTGGATGTTAATAGTCCTAATCTGCATTCCAAAACAATTTGGCAAAGCAACCATACAATTTATTATATTTCCTTCCCAATTTTGTAAAATATTAATACTTGCTCTGTTCTGTGGTGAAAGAGACCAAACAGCATTGTCATGTTCAGAGTCCCAAGTTAATAAAAAAACTCAAAATAAATAAAAAATAAGGAAATTCTTGTGTGCCAAGTTTGCAGGATGAACTCAAGGGTCACCCCTCAACGTGTGATTAAAGTGAAATTTTAAAATTACCTTTCAAAAAATCAAAACAATATAAATACTGAAAATTCAACGACAAGCTAACAGGCTTTTAAAGCAATAAAACACTTCACATCAAAGGGTTATCCACAGGGCAAATCAACTATAACCAAAATAAATATTATAACATAATATCATTTGCTTATAATATCTATTTCTCAAGATTTATGCCTAAATCTTATGAGATTACATCAAGAATACAATTTGATACCAAAATATTTCATTGCCTACTAGAGATGGAAAAGTACAAAAATAAAAAGAAAGGTATAGATCCCAACAAAAAATACCTCCAAGTAGTGGCGGAGCCAGACATCCATTGTGAGGTAAAAAAGTTGTAAATATTTTTCAAAATAACGTAACCCTAACGGTGAGTTAAGACTTGAGAGATGATAATAGAGGTGGTCTGATGGCTAAATATTTGTGGCCATTGCCAGCATCGACGAGGTCGCGGATGTTAGATTTTGATGGATTTGACAACCTTTGATATTGGGGAGGAATGAAAATTAATTAGTGATTTCAAATTTGGGCTTTTCAAATTCAAGGAAAAGTCGTGCACAATGCTCAAAAGAGGAAGTATAAAAAATTAAATTTTGGAGAAAAGTTTTAAAAAAATCAAAAATTCCAAAATTATGTGGGGTCAATGAACCACACATGACACCATGTAGCTCTGTCACTACCTCCACGAACAGCATGGGAGAAGCCTAATAATAGAAAACCAGGCTTACTGAAGAACAAAAACCATTCTTTCAACGCTTTCGAAATCAACATCAATCCTATTTTTCCATGTTATTCTACTAGGTATGGAGACTGCACTACAAGGGCATAGTAGTAGTTTAGTTTACTTGTAAAAACAAGCTATTGCTTCGTTTTTCACCATTTGAATTCTCCAAAGCAGGTCTTAAAAGGATTAAAATTGATGTATTTGATGATATCTTAATCTCTCCTTGTTAATGTTGTTTTTGACTTCCATCTAAAATGCATGCAATGTTGAGGTGATCCAAGAATGCTGTACTCGATGGGGTAACTCGAGATTTAAGCATAAATCTTGAGATAGAGCATTCTAATATCTATTTTGGTCCTAATGGATTGTGATTTTATCCCATGGATTTTTCCCTTCACTCGGGAGTTATTATCACGTTAAAAATTGGTGTTTTCTTGTGGTTGATGTTTCACATATTTATACTCTATATTGGCGTGTTGAGTTAAATTGAAAAATCTTATTTAAATCGCATGTAGAGGAAAAAATTATATTGTTATGTATTGTCATTGTTGTGCATTTTTAACCGCCGCTATCCTCTGTCATCCTGAAATAGCTTCTTAGTTCTTATGATTAGTAGGCAGCACAAACTTAACCACAAGTAGTAAAATTGTGGCCCAATTTACTTTGGAACTCCTTCACCTTATAAAAAGAATTTTTTTTTTTTTTTGAGCTTGCAAACTTATAGTGCCCGTAAAAGTGTTCAGAAGTCAGGTTATGCCCCCTCCATAAGTAGTACATTTTAAAAGATACTAGAGGTTACACGTGAAGGGTATTTTCTAAACCTAACTTCATTGCAAATCAAATAAGGAAACATGTTCACGATCATTATGTCATATTTAAAAAAAAATCATGATAAATTGAGAAACATCAAATTGAAGCAAAAACTGGAAGGAAAACTGGAGAGGCAAGAGGTAGTGTGATCCCCTCACCAGACATGCACTCAAGAAAGATAGTTGAAGTTGCTTTGAGTGCCTTCTAGAAGGCAGGCACAAAAAATATACATGTGCATGGAAAACCTAGTGACATCACTTCTTATTATCAAATGTCATCTGTTTCCTAACATGTTAGAACATCTCCAATAGGCTCTTTATTGGTCTCATCATCTTTATTATAGAGTCACCTTGGACTTAAAAAGTCCAACAAACTCTTTTATTATTAAAGTTGAAATAAAGAGGGGATTTTAATTCTTCAAATTTAAAGAGCCATACCCACTCTATTATGGTATCATTAATTATTTCACTACTTTCTATTTACTTATTTGGAGAGAAGCAAGTGAAAAAGATGAGAAAACATGTTGAATCATAATTACTTATTGGAACAAGCAAAATAAGGATTGTTGAATGTTTATAAAAAGTTCCACGCTCTATTTTGAAAATTCATCTAAGATGTTCTCTATATTAGAAAATATGCTCTTTCAGATAAAGAGCATCTTGAAAAACATTTAAAAATAAAGAGTGAAACTTTTTACACTGGTCCAACAGAACTCTTTACATATAATATTTATTTTGATGTTTTCCATAAACTCAATATTTTTCCTTTCCTTTTTACCTAGCTTGGCTCATTTTATTTCATCATTTTCCATTTGTTTTTGAAAGAGGTGTATGGAAAGTTGTGAAATATTCAATGAAATCACTAAAAATATTATATAGTTTGTTGGATTCCTTGAAAACTTAACCTCACTTGATAAGTGCACAACTTTTGAGGCCAATCTCAAAAACTTTGTTCTCTTCTAAGTAAAAGCGCAGACGGTTGGTTGGTACGCTAGACAATTCAACTAATCGAATTAGTTTCAATTGTTTAGATAAACACTTGAAATTGTCTTGATTAGTCAAAATGTCTACACTAGATAGTTTTAACCGTCTATATCAGACAGTTTCAACCGTCTTGATTAGCCGAAGTATCTCTAAAACAGCTGAAATTTTTTCGCATACCAACCAATTATCTGCGCTTTTACTTAGAAGAGAACTTTACTTCCAAGATTTGCCTCAAAAAGTTGTCCAACTACCAAATGGCAAAACAATTTTTGTCAACAAAAAAGGATATTATTGATATTTAACATGTAGAAGTGACCATTTTACTAATTTTACCAAAAAGTTGACCTTTCTTCTCTCTCCAAAAAGTGGGCTGACACACAAAAGCCTTTTATTCTTAGGTGTAACCCCATTACGCAAAAATAAACTTATAAAAAAATTATTGAGATGAGGATAATTTTAGTTGTATTCCAATAAAATTGAGATGCTCATAACATATAACAATATTACTAAGAATTGACTCTTATTAGCAAATAAGTTTCAATTTTAATCAAGTTCAAGCCATGAAAGTAATTAAGTGATGCAGGTTGTCAATAAGAACTCAAGACAAAAAGTACTTGCATTGTGGAACCTACTAAATACCAAATACAAGGAAAGAGAAAATAGAGAGGGTTCGGAACTTAAACGCCTTGTGTAGCGGTCTATACTTACGGCACATAATCTCCAAATTCTCAAAATTTCAATTAGTTGAATGTTTTATACCCCTCCCCTTAAACATGCTGGTTTATTGTTCATTTTAAATTTCAAGTTATGATATCACAAAATTAAACAAGGGAGCAAAACATTTAAACTAGAGTGCAATTGTCGAGTAACAGTTGTCAAACCTTTAACTAGCTCTATTAGGAACCTTTTTTCCGTAAAAAATCAGCATAGCTTTAGTGGGCTTTCAGGCTCCACCAGGAAATGTTGATGAGATTTGGATGCCTCAATCATATATATAAGAACAAAATGCACGGGTATAAAAGGAAGGGGGCATAAACCAGACTTTCCAAAAGCAAGTAGATGCAACATGTGAATAGGAGTAAAGATAAGAAAAGTACTATTTCCCATATAAAGAAGCAAGTGAATGTCAACCTAACGCTCTCTAATGCTAAGAAAAACATATGTATCTATATGTATGAGAGCTCAAATTCCACGTGAAATATCAATGAGACCATACTCCTAATATTTGCACATATTCCATCCAACAGAAGCAAGTCAATCAGCGACTTGGTTCCCCTCCCGATAAATATGGGAGATAAAATCATGATCTATAGAAAGATTATGTCTAATCTGTGTCGCCCATTGGCCACTACCTCTAGTGATGCAGTGAACGGGCACCGAAGAAGTACCCCGAAATGAAAAGGGCATGGGTATGGGATCAGGCTTGGATCCTTTAAATTTAAAAGGAAAACGGCAGAGGAGGTCATCATTAGTGGAAATTGAAGTTGCAAAAATAGAAAGAGGGAAGAGAAAGGTCGAGAAAGGAAACCCTAATCGTAAAAAAGAAATATCTCCATCCACATTTTGGATCCCTTTTTTGTCGTATCACTGTATCACAGAATTTAGAAAAAAAAAGAAGAATATGAATCCTAAATATGTACCCATACTCGTACCCAAGTCCAAGCAACATAGTTGGGAACAAGTTCGATTTTGAATTTCTTTATCATACTTGGGTAACTACAATAATGACAATTGTTCAGCCTTTCACCGTCCAAATTTCTCCAAAATGCGGATCAAACGTAAAGCGGGAATGAGGTGATTTCAGCAAAATCCTGTTTCCCATTTATAAGTAAACAATAAAGCATCTATTTCTCATTAGAATTAGCTACACTGAACTTTTTATTTGTCCTCACAAATAACTAATAAATATCTCAAAGCTTTACCCAAACTTAGAAATGGATAGTGTTTCAAGTGAGCTAAACTATTATTGAGTACAAGCAATTTAAAGACCTATTGGTTTAACAACTTATTGTAGAGTTGATCGTTCAGAAATCAGACCTTTCAATTACCTAGGGGTATTCACGAAACTCACAGAAAAAAGGAAGTGAATTAGACAAAAAGAAAAGCAACTCAAATTGAAACTAGTAACTAATCCTAACATGGAAGAACTAAAAAAAAAAAAACTCATAAATATTTTTATACCCTTACATAGACGAATTCTACAAATTTTCCAATTATTGTCGAGAAATGTCAAAATTAATTAGTCTTGGATAGTTCATTTGTGAAAATGTGTGCATTTCTTTTAATTGTATGATGGACCTCCTGAAAAACATTGGTGCTAGTGTTCGGTCAAATCTTGTAATCTCTACGAAATTAGGTAAAGTTGGATTAGACAAATCTTACATCATTTCTAAAGAACCAAAACATCGCATCCAGGTAGTCCAATATTATTCCTGAGGTCATCTCTATAATTGAATATCAACTTTTCAAGGAATCACTTTGGAAATCCATTACCCAGGCGAACTCATCAGGTTAAATATAAGCCAATAACCAACAAAGGAATGCAAAGATATTTAATAAAATAAAATATAATTATGGCCATCTGACTTGTACCTGAATTACCAGTGCTGTCAGAGGCAATGGAGGAGATTCCCCAGCAGCTCCCATTGTAAATGCTTGAGCCATCCGTTCAAATTCACCTTTTACTAGTCCATCATCAAATCCCTTTGTGCAAACCTTTGTCATAAAAGTAGCCATAAATATATGATCAATTAGACGACCACCCAGTCTAGTTCCCACATTGAGGCTTAGGGTCCAATATTATGAACTGAAATATTTGATATTACATATCAATATTGCTAGCATGGAATTCAATCTAGAGGGAATAGGACATGAACCTGAACCATGAGCATGACCTCTGAAATGCTAGTCTCAGCATTGTCAACGTCAGCAACTTTGTTTGGTATTCTGCCTTCACGAACCTAATCAAAAACAGCAACAGCAAACAGTCATCATAAGAAGCATAGTTTCCTTCTCGTTTCCCATTGTGTAAAAGCATGGTCTCCATTCTTAGTTTCATCATCGAAACAATTTTCACAGATTATTTATGCCAATTTACAAACTTGATGTAGTTCATTTAAAATTTACAATATTTATGAAGTATATACCGTAAGTTGACGCCAGAATCCAGTATTATTCAATCTGTTCCATATAGGCATCCCTGACTGCTGTAGAAATTCTTGAAAGATAGCAGCATATTTGCAAGAAATTCTAGAAACATTTGGGCAGTCTACAGGCTCCTCGATAGCAGTCACACCTTCCCTATATAAATTGTTCAATTCCTATAACCTGTTAAGTGAAAAGAAGTAGAGAGAACTATTTTATGGTGGCTGGTTTTATTGCAGACTACCTGAAATTCCCAAGTAAAAAGCCCACAGTAGGTCTGCCTTGCAAAGAATATCCAACAGAGAACTCACACTTGTTTCGGTATCCATCAACAAGTGGTGATTCAAGTATACCTTCTAACTTGCATGGAAGACCACCTGAATGTAAGGATGAAAATGGGTCAAGGAGCTACTTGAGTATCCTAGCCTCTTCATTCAGATTAAATTTCTGTGAAAGTGCTCAGAGATAAAACTTTCAATATAAATAAAAAAATAATTCAGAAAATCACAGAGTAAACAAAAGCATCATTCACAATTAGCTTTTGTAAGAAAATCCATGAAGTGCTAGATGTATTTAGATATCATAGGCACAATAAGAATTTTTGGAGTAAGTCTTTTATTCAACTTCTATACATGGTTGAAACAGCACCTATTTCTCTAGATTTGAGAATCCATTCTGGAAGTGAGACTCCATTAGGACAAGCTTTACGCGCATTTCGAGTCTACAAGTAACAAATCCAAATGTCAAAATTTGTATCAGTTGATAGTTCATAATGTAGTTTACAAAATCAAGGAAGTATTCTTATCACTAACTAATCTTTTGAGAGTTTGCATTAGAGAATTCTTCTTGTGCTCTAGCTGATCAGCATAGGCCATGTGAGCAAGAGGAGTCACCACATTACGGACACTTCTACCTTTTGAGGCCGTACCATCAACAGCTAAACTGACATCATTTGAATCGTCACCCTGATCATTGTTCAACTCAGCCGCTTCATTTTTCTTCCCAAATGAGCGTGAAATGACATCAGTAACCCTTATAGTTCTATTATTTCCAACAGACTTCCCATCCAACTCCTGTGACATTAAAATATGAGAAACAATTTTTTTTTTTTAAAGTTATTATAACTTTCAAAATGAAAGTTCCATGCTCATTGAAAACTAGGTAATACCTCTACAGCAGTTTTGACTTGTGCTGCACTTTCAAATGTAACAAATCCAACAACCATCCCTAGCTTTTTCTTGGCTGATTCAAACAGAATTCCCTGTAGAAATTATTTCATCAAATAACAAAACATACATCACAGCCTAATAAAAGGAACCAGAAATAAGTAAGAACTATAAACATTTATCGGAGTAACAGCATTCCTAGTTCAACAAACATGCAAGTGATGAATATTTTACTCGGCCACGAAAGAATATACGAAGCTCTCTTAGTATTGCAAAAGAGTTAGCATCAATCTCTGCTCCGTCAATAAGACAACAACAAATTCACAAGTTGGATATGCTTTTGAAGCGTTTTATCAGAACATCAATTGCAATAAGCAGGGTAACAACAGCCATTAGCTCTGCATTTCCCTTGTCTTATGTTTGGCCATGTTTAAAATGTATGGATAACTTACTATTTTGATAGATTAAATACATCTATTAAAACTTTTTTATTTACTTATAAGTAAAAAATTTAAGCTTAGCCAAACATCTTATAACTCCTAGCTAGATTCTAGATACGTAGCAATCACTTCTTATGATTGCCGCCGAAGCAAACTAATTGAAACCAAAATGCACCTGCTCATTAAGAAAATTCCTCAACTTGTCCGCACCCCACTTCATGGGTAAATTCACCAAGCACTTGGACAACCCAGAGGAACAAGCATCATCCCCCTCCGGCGCCATCACAACTGCATCCGTCATCATAACGCCACACTCCGCCTCCATTAAATTTGCACTGTCGGGCTCTTTCTTCGCCATCTTCTTTGCCCGTTCGGATGTCGGGTCCCAGGTGTTGTCGGGTCTGGGCCTGAGCTCCTCCTCTCCATGGGCGTAGCGGCACGAATCCCCGTGGCTGCACGACCCGTTAGAACTCCGAAAGTATGAGCAGAGACTCGTTTTCCACAGCGGGTGCTGCTGCTGAGGCGCATTTTGCTCCAGCTCTAGGTCCGGATCCTCTCGCTTTCGCTTCTCGGATTGATTAGTATCTGCTGCACCAGATTCAGAAGCACTTTCGGGCGGATTTGGTAGGTCCAAGGATTCCAAAGCGTCCATTGGGGTTTAGGGTTTCTGTTGGTTAGTCTTCGCACGTTGAACAGTTCAGTTTCAGAATTCAGGTTTTGCGCTTGCGGCGGGACAAATTCCTAAAATGTGGTTTTATCGAAATAACTAGTCACATATATCCAAATCTTGTTTATATTTATTTGCTTTTATACTTTGTTCAATTATCATCTCCCTTATTTTTAAAATATATTTTTCTTTAATTTTTAATCATACATTTATTAATAAAATATTAGCATATTACACTCAAAATACAAATTTTTTTCTTATTTTTTAACCACGCATTTGTCATTAAATCACTATTCCAAAATGTATTTTCTTTTTAAAAAAAAGGCTCAAATAGGCTCTTAGAGTTATTATATTCACACCAATTTTTTTTTTCATAAATATACAACATTTTAATTATATTAAAGATCATTAATTTTTATTCATTATCAAACTTATATTCTTAGGGTGTGTTTAATCCACATTATTTTGGAGGAATGTACTTTTGGATAGTAGATTGATGGAGAATTTGTGGTTGAAAAAAAAAAAAGTTATTGATGTGATGAAAAATATTATTTTATTGAAAAATGTGTGGTTAAAAATGAGTAGAAAAATGAGAATGAAAATTTTAATATGTACCAAACAGGGACTAAATGTTCTTAATTTTTTTTCGTCACGTTCTTATTTTATAAGTTTCGTTGATAAAAAAATATTGTCCTTAATTATTATTTTCATTCAAAAATATTATTAACGTACTTTAAAATGAATATTAAATATTTAATCGTACATTTGTATTATTATTTGTTTTATTTACTTTAAAATACAATGGGCAAAGGCACCCTAAGTTCTTCAGTCTAAACTTTTGGTGGCGAACGCAAAGAAATTTATGCTTGTACATTTATATTAATCCAAAGGAATACAACAAAGATTAGGGCTGTAAGCAAAAATCGCCAAATCAGAAAACCGAACCGAAACCGCAATTTCGAAATCGGGGGTTTGGTGCCACGTGGACCCGTCAACGAAATGGTTTTGAACCAAACCAAATCGGTCAAAAACGGTTTGGTTTAGGTTTGGGAATTTTAATTATGGTTTGAAACCAAACCGGACCGGCGAAAAATATATAAAATAAAAAAATAAAAAATTGATTTTTTTTGAAAATTTATCCAAAATTTCAATTTTGTAAAATTGAATAATTTTGTCATTTTGTAAGTATTTTTGTCAATTTCTAATTTCCTATTAATTATTAAGATTTATGACCCGCCCAAGCCTAATTATATATAAAAAAAGGTTCAAATTTGAAAGAAGTAGCACTAAACAGCTCAACCCAAGTCCATATACTCACAAATCACAACCCTAATCTTCC